AAAACCAGAATTAAAAACATGATATTAATATAACATGTTAAAATATAAAAATATTAAAAAACATACTGTTAAGAATATTAAACCATTAAAACCATACAAAGGCAACACCTCAGTAGAAGCTCTCCTGGATGCAGTTAAATATTAATTAATTAGACATTAATTAGATATTTGCTATCTGGACTGAACTCCATTTTAATGTGCTTAAACCCTTTAGTCCCGGCATTTGAATGTTTCACTTTTCAATGATAAACAGGTTACAGTTCAAATATCAGCAGATCTGATACAATACTTTAAAATGAATGAAGGCTCTGCAGCTTCATATATTATTGAATGGAAAGCACAAAAAGCCCACATTTGGGGTAGAATCATTGCTTATTCTTCTTACAATAAAATAAATTATGACCCTAGTTAGGTATTTGCTGTTTGCAATATATGCAATAAAATAAAATAGTTAAGAAATGATTGAATAAGCAACTGGAAGCACTGGTATCCCAGTTTGCTGTTTCTCCATCTGAACAACTTTATGAAGAATTGCAAAACATTAAATATTAAATAATATTCTCTTGAAACAAACGGAACTGTCACCCTGTGGACTTACCTAATGTTGATATCATATTTGGTAAATATTGACAGCTATTTTAGCTAATAGATATCAAAAAGTCATTTCATTTTTGGTAAGTCTTGATCAGGTGGGATAATCCACCATGGTCAGCCTTGGAGTCTTCATTTCTGACACCTCTATTCTCATGGTTCTCATTTCATTTTTTAAAAAGAGCAGTGTTTTATCAACCATTTCTGCAGTTAGAACTGCATGGCAAATATTTTCTTATCAATTGCAATTTGACTCGTACATTCCTGCCAAATTGTCTTTATGGGGGAAAAAAACAGATTTCAAAATTTGTAATGAATCATTTTTATGGAAGGTGTGGGCTGATAATGGAATTGTTACTTTAAATCAGATACCTGATGTTGATTATGAATTTTTGCCTTTTTAATTTTGCAAGAGCATTTTAAACTATCTTTATCAGCTTTATGGCAATATCTACAACTGAAACATTTAATATAATCCAAATTTGGCCCTGAAGCTTTATATGCATGATAGGTTCCCTTAATATTAGAGACATTAACTGAGACCAACCAAGTATCTCAACTAATAATTTATAAATATAATTTTCTATTATCTATAAATAAATATGATATATGAGGTTTACAGCAAGAATGGAATAAAGAATTGGAATATCCAGTTGTGACTAATCAATTGCCATCAGTTTTAACATCTATAACTAGAATATCTATAGGTCTCTATGGGGCTATGCAGACCGGGCTAAAAGGCTGGCCTGGGGGTGGAGTTAGGGTGGGGCAGCTGCGCGCCGGCCCCCCAACTCAACCCCGACGCCATCCTGATGCCACATGCCCATCCGCACAGTGTGCGGTGTCAGGACCTGGCGCAGCGTGTACACATGATGCGGCAAAAGGGCGCAGAAGAGCCACAGCACTAGCTCTTAGCGTGGCCTTTTGCCGCTCCTAAAAGGAGCAGCATTTTGCTGCTCTTTTGGGGGCAGCAAAAGGGAGGATTGGGGCTGCAGCATGCAGTTGCCGCAGCCTTGATCCGCCGCTCCCAGGGGCGGCTCTGTGCTGCCCCTTTATGTGGGTCTGTAATCAGAAATTGATCCTTTGGTTATGTTATTAATCACAACGTTTATTTAAGAAAGGCCTTTCTAAACCAGCTTTTGGAGTCCTAGTATATACTGTCCAACATTTTGCACATGAGAACTGGAAGACATGGCCAAGCAACATCAGTGTGTGGTTAATATGACAAAATGTATTAATGAAGGGGAACGCACAAGCTACGATGGGATACAGTAGTTTGTTTTTGCCTGAGTCTGCAGGGAATGGGAAGATCCCTCCTCCTCACTTCAATAAATTAACTGCGTGCAAACTACTTTTATACTTTGAATTCAGTTTGAAGCAACTGAAGTAAGCTGAGGGCAAAGAGGAAAGTGGGAGGAGGAGAGACAAACTGTAACATTTTAAAAATAGCTGAAAAAGTGGGATGATGGAGAACCATACCTGCCAAATTGGGCAGTTGGAGTGTTGATTTGTCGAACATTCAAACAACTATACAATGCTGGTTTAAAGGTTAATATTCTAATATTTGCAAGGAAATTTAAGCAAAGAATTTGCTTGAGTCTTGCACATCCAGTCTTCCCCATTTATTTCAGCTCTGTTTGCAAGAAACTCACAGTTTCTAAAGGAATGAGAATAATCTGCAAAAGAAAAATGTTGGTTGAAGTTTATTTCTCAAGGCCAAGGGCTTAATTTTTTATTTATTTATTTAGAAGAAAATATAGAGAAGCAGTGCTGTAAAGCCTGTAGAGAATCCCAGTAGCTGCAAATGAGTTGCAATCACTTCCATTTTCAATGCAATAACTGTAACAAACTGTAGATCAAAACTGTTGTAACTATAGATCAAAAGCTGAAAGTACAATTAGTCGTTTGGAAAGCACACCAGACTTTTGTCATGCACCAGAGTGAAGAATAGATTGCTGTGCTGGGACATTGATGTGATTTCTTTAAAAAAATCTCAACCATGGCAACAAAAGGGAGAGATGACTTGAGAGCTCTCTCTTAGTGTGCAAGTCCTTTTGTGTCTGTGTACATTTTCTCCTTCCATTGTTGAATCTATTACAGTTGCTTTTGCTTCTGTCTTTTGCTAACATATTATCTTTTTGAAGCTGAGCATCTTTATTGATTGTGGCATTCAACCTCACTAACAGCCTAATCCTCCAATGTCTCTGCTCAGAAGAAAACCCAAAGAGTTCAATGGGCCTTACTCCCAATTAAATGGACCTATGATCATGGCCTTGGTTTCCCTTTTCATTTATTTTTCTTGCATTGGCACTTCTTACCTGTTTCTCTCTACTGTTTTGCTCTTTATCTCTCATGCTTCATTCTCTGTCCAAAAACACAAATGGAAGCCTTATTAATTCCTCTGTGATTAGTGTCCATGTTGACAGGGGTATTCTGGGCGTTTCATTACATAAAAGTATCTTTTCTGAGCTTTTATGCTCATTTGAAATGCCGTAAAAAGCTTGGTAATATTCCCACAGAACTTGGAAGAATACCCTAAAGGCTCCAGATCTCACCTGATCTTGAAAGCTAAGCAGCATCAGCCTTGGTTAGTACTTGGATGGGAGACTGCCAAATAAATACCAGGTGCTATATAGGCTATATTTTAGAGGAAGAAACTGGCAACTCTGAGTATTCCTTGCTGAGGAAAACCCAATGAAATTCATGGAGGACCTTTGCAGACTGCCAGAAATAGTGCAAATTGAGTCCACTTTAACTGTTGTGGCTCAGTGCTAGGGAATCATGGGAACTGTAGTTTATTGTGGCACCAGAGCTCTCTGACAGAGAAGGCTCAATGTCTCAGAAAAAAAATACAATTCCCATGATTCCCTAGCACTGAGCCAGGGCAGTGAAAGTGGACTCAATTTGCACTATTTCTAGCAGTCTGCAAAGGCCCGGAGTCAACATAGGTTGATAGGCAACTTGAAGGCACACACACACACTTTAAAGAAAGAGATAGTTTTGGATCCCAATTAATAGATGACCAACAACAGGGCAGCAGTGGCAGATGATGATGTTGGACTCCAGCTCTCATCAGCCCTAGCTGGCACAGCCAATGTTCTTGAGTATTGGGACTAGTTTAGGGAAGCATTTGTATATCAACAGTAAAACATCCACTCATTCCTCCATGGTTATTTATTTCCACAGGTTTCAATGGCTGGAGATATAACATTTGAATATATTTTAGATGTGATTTAGAAATCAAAACATTAAGGGACAGGTAATATTATTTACGTTTCAAACCTGTATCCTCTGAGTCTTATTTTTCAGTAGACATGTACAGAATTGTACTGCTAAAACATTTCTTACTGCATGGGTAAGAAAAGTATTATATGGCATTCCTTCTTGTCTAAAATTGATGTCTTCTTTTATGGAGATAATTCCAAGCAGGGATAACAGCTGAAAAGCCTGCAGCAATGTCCACCTATTCTGTCATTTGCAATGCTCCTGACAGTAAGGAGCCACATATCAAACTGTTGCTGATTTGCTTACAAGAAGAGAGAGACAGCACAGCTCACACTTCAAATACAAACACACACACAAACAGAAACCCAACTCACATTTTAATCTGTATTTTGTGCCACCTACAGATGCTGATTGACAAAAATGATGACAGATTGCTATGACTGATCACATCCTGTGTTTTAGGACTTTGACTATGAATCAAAGGAGTTTGAATATGATGCAGATCTGGGAAGAATGCAAAGTGCTCCATTGCTATGTGGTGAATGTTCACCATAGGTATACTCTCCAAATGTCACCTGTTCAACACCTTGGCCATTGATTTGTGGGGTCCCTCAGGGCCGGATCTGACCTCATGCTACTTAATATATACATAAAACATTGAGAGAGATGGAGTTTTGTGGTCCAGTACCAGCAGTATGCAGATGATGCCCAACTCTAGTATTTTCTACCTCAGTCCAAGGAAGGTGTTTTCATTCTACACTGGCATCTGTCTTAAATAATGGACAGAACGACAGTGAACAAATTGAAACTTGATCCAGACAAGATAGAGGTGCTCCTTCAGTCAGAAGGCAGGTCAGGGAATAGGGATTCAGCCTTGAAGTCTATTTGAAGACACAGGTACACAGCTTGAGTGTCCTTCTGAATTCAACCCATAGCCTTGGAAGCTCAAGTTTCAGAGGTGACCAGGACTGTATTCACACAGCAATGTCCTGTGTACCACCTGTGACCACTCTTAGAGATGATTACAGTAAGACATGCCTTATTTACACTGTGCCATGTTCTCCCTGAGACTGCCTTTGAAGAGTGTTCAGAAACTTCATTTGGTTCAAACAGCTGTAGTGAAACTACTCGCTTAGACTAGTTACAGGCAGCATGATGTTACAACCTTGTTACAACAGTTCCAAGCCAGCATAGTGTAGTGTTTTGAGCACTGGATTATGACTCTGGAGACCAGGGTTCAAATCTCTGTTCAGCTGTGGAAATTCACTAGGTGATCTTGGGCAAGTCACACTCTCTCAGACTCAGAGGCAACCCCCTTCAGAACAAATCATGCCAAGAAAAACCATGATAGGTTCACCTTAGGGTCACTTTAAGTAGGAAATGAAGCCACACAACCACAACATACAACAGCTCCACAGGCTGCCTGTTCAAAGTTCTGATTATGTCCTATAAAGATCAAGATTGCTTGGATCCAGTTTATCTGAAGGATCCATCTTCTCCCATATGCTTATGTCTCTGGATATTCTCATGAGGCCCCTCTACCTCTCCTCACGAATACATCTTGATGGGAACACAGGAGAGGGCCTTCTCAGTGCCTGCTCCCAGATTATGGAATTATCTCTGTAGAGATGCTAGCCTGGTGCCCTCCATGGTCTCCTTCAAATGTCCAGCAAATATATTTTTGTTTTGAAAGGCCTGTGGGAATTAATTGATGGTGAGGAAAGAGTTTTTAATAATGTGTCGCAGAGATTTTTTTATTCTTTAAAAAAATGGGTATGTGCTTGTGTTGTCGTAAATTTTATTTATAATTTCATTATATTTCAGCTATTGGGCAATATGTACTTTTATTTGTACCTATTTTAACTTTGTAAAAGAGATGGTAAAAGTGGGATATAAATAAAATCATCCTCATCATCACTGTCATCATTGAGAGTCCATGTGGTTCAATAATCAGAGTGCTGGACTTTGATTTAAGAGGCCTAGAATCAAATTCCATTGCAACATTTGAGGAAAATGCTGATGAATACAATCAGCCTAATAGCACTGACAGGTCATTAAGCTTCATTGAACTCAGCTTACTAGTGAGAACACACACAAAGCATTGCACAGTAAAGATCCTGTATGAACACACAACATCCCTGGGTAGGTAGGCAGAAGAAAGGTGGTCAATGGCCATCAGATTGCAAGTGGTAGCATGATATAAGTTTACACAACCTTTTTCAAAATGAGTGCCCTCCCATTACAACTCCCATTACTCCCAACTAGCATGGCCAATGGATGGGAATGGTAGGAACTGTAGGCCAACACAGCTGATGGACATCCATTTGGAGAAAGTTGTTAGATGAAATGTATGCTGACCAATCTAGCTCAGCATCACTCCTGTCTTTTAATCCCCCCCCCCCCACTTTTCCCCCCCATCACAATTTTCCCATCACCTTAAAAAATATAATACGACATGCCAATCTTCTATTCACTTCCTCCCACATTCAAATCTTATTTACTGGCCCTAAATATATGCCACTGTCAATTATCATGGCTGTAGCCTATCTCTGAAGTATTGATTGATGGGTTGTATGTTACCCAAGTTTTTTGAAAATGCACATTTCCAAAAAGATGTTTGATTCAGAGGTAGTTTAAGGTCAGGGTTTAAACAAATAACATAAATGGTGAAAGGTGTCCAAATGTCTTCAGCTATATCTTTTTTGATTTCTACCATTCCTGATCTGACTTTATATGTTAACTTTTCTCATAAATCTATGGACCTCACGCTTACCTACTCATCTTTGTATAGAGAGAGCCTGCTAAAGTGTCCCACAATTTTGTTATTTTTAATGTTACAGCCCTTAACAAGATTGTTATGAAGTCTTTGGCAATTTTTAATTTTCAGATGTGGAAGTTAACAATAAAGCTCCTCTATGATGTACTTTCTGGCTTAACCCATATGCCTTTGCAGACTGCCAGAAATAGTGCAGATTTGAGTCCACTTTAACTGCCCTGACTCAGTGCTAGGGAATCATGGGAACTGTAGTTTATTGTGGCATCAGAGCTCTCTGACAGAGAAGACTCAATGTCACAGAAAAAAATACAATTCCCATGATTCCCTAGCACTGAGCCAGGGCAGTTAAAGTGGACTCAATTTGTACTATTTATAGCAGTCTGCAAAGGCCCTTAATGGGTTATCCCAGAAACTACATACTTTTGGAAAGGCAAGCCACATCTTGCCACTTTCCTATTTTATCCAAACTCTCCACTGAAACTTTGACACATCTTTATTAAATCTATGTAGTTTAGCCATTCATGGACAATTTGAATGCATTTTCATTAGCCTGGGCAGATATCGATTTATAGCATGTTGTCCAAATTATATCCCATCATTTCACAGGTATTTCTAGTCCTAAATCTGTCTACCATATGAGACCCATACCCTTGGATTTTCCAAATATTTTTCTCTGAAATATTCTATATATTCTTGAAGCTTGCCTGATTGTTTTATTCATGCCATTACTACAATATATCTCAAATAAAATTAGAGTTCTTGATGGAGCTTCTGATTGTTAGCCTTTCCAACTAATTACCTGTCTTGCTGGGGCTGAGGGCCCAATGATTGATGAATCTGCTCTTCCATTTATTTAAAGACAGTAAAATGTTGTATGTCTTAAATCCACATGATAATTAGTTCAAAGGAGGTTGTTTTGATTCTTTTTCTCAGGAAAATTGTTAAAGCAAATGTTCATATAATGATCTGTATCTTCCTGATACTCTTTTTAAAAAGTTCTTCAGTAATGTTGCATAGCCTGCAGTCAGGAAATCAGAAGAAATCAGAAGAAGACTAAGAATGGGAAGAGTGGCTATGAAAGAACTAGAAAAGATGATCAAATGCAAAGATATACAACTCAGCACAAAAGTTGGATTTATACAAGTCATTGTTTTCCCTATTACCATGTACGGATGTGAGAACTGGAAAGTTAAGAAAGATGATAGGAAGAAAATAAATTCCTTTGAGATGTGGTTCTGGAGAAGAGTGCTGAGGATTCCATGGACAGCCAAAAGGACAAACAAGTGGGTCCTTGAGCAGATCAAACTAGAAATTTCCCTGGAAGCCAAGATGACCAAACTGAGACTGTCATATTTTGGACTCATCATGAGAAGACTCATTAGAAAAGACTCATTAGAAAAGACAATAATGTTAGGAAAGGTAGAGGGAAGTAGGAAGAGAGGAAGGCCACATGCCAGATGGATGGACTCTATTAAAGAGGTCACAGATATGGGTTTGTAGAATTTAAGCAGAGCAGTGGAGGAGAGAGGGTCTTGGAGATGTCTCATCTGTAGGGCATCCATGAGTCAAAATTGACGTGAGGGAGTTAGCAACAAATCTGGCTGCTAATTTTCCATACTTTTGACATTTTTCTCTAATAGCTGCTAATTATTATAACTCCTGTTTTTTTCTTTTTATAATTAAACCTTAAAGAGTCAAGGAATCAAGGGATTCAGTTATGCCACCACCTCCAAGACAGAAAATCACACCCTCCCAACAACTCCAATGTCATATGAGAAAAGTAACAACAATGGATTGTTGCTTTTGGCTTTTTCCATATCTGAATAATTTAAAGCTCAACTTCTTATTTGAAATAACATTATCAAAAGGAAAAAAATGGGTTAATCATTGGGAACTGGCTTTTTTTTTTTTAATGTATAGTTTGACCCTGTATGATAGCCACATCTCAAGTGACCAAACATCAGAAAACATTGCTGATGAATCTCATTTTGGGAGAAAGGTGGGATATAAGTGCAATAAATAAATACATAAATAAATCCATGCTACTTGAAGTGTTTTCTGAAAGGCTAATGAAATGCAGACTTAGAGTTAGGAAATGTATGACTTCCTTTTAAAACAAGGAAATGAGGAAGAAAAACAGTCTTTCTCTTCCTCATAGATTAGACAGCAAGCCTTAACATTTCTTGCATGTTTTTTCCTGGGGAGGAACACAATTTGAGGGGAAACAAAAGTTGAGGGGAAACAACTTAGCAAGGGTATTTTATATATCCAGCAAAGTCAGTTAGCAGTAGTGACGGTAGTGTGGGTCTATCTGCATCAATTTCCCTCATCACCGTGGGAAAAGGGTCATACAAAGAGACTCAGGGAAAGCCTGTCTTAATTAAGCAGATGAATTAAACGGATTAGAGTACTTCTGTGTTTTGTACCTGGGGATCCCTTTGAAGCCTGGTCAGAAACTCCCATTGATACAAAATGTATTTGGCACTGGCTGCCAGAAACATATCTTCCCAGCACTGAAATGGTTCCACTCCTTGTTCCTGGAAGCCCTTCAAAGAGCTGATCTTAACCTTTGAAAGCCTTAGGTGGCATGGGACTAGGATACCTGAGCTGCCTTCCATATGTATCTGCCTAAGATCTGCATCACAACACAGAGAGGTTAAACCAGGATCTTTGACCAAATTGTGCACTTTGAATTAAGAATGTCAGACTTGATATAGACATGTAGTGATTAGGTCCAAACATTTATTGACATAGATCCCACCACCTCATATCCAACTCTTTGTTGGAGTAAATGAGTTATAGTTGTTATACTTCTAGCTTATAAATGAATATCCAAGAGAGAGAGAGAATTTTCCTAGTAGTGACTGTAAGGTTCCAGTAAAATTAGAAGACTATTGTGAGTGAAATGTACACACACACACACACTGACCTTGTGAATGCTCAAAGTGTAATATAGAACCACAGATGACTGCACTAAATAAATATATATTAAAGTGGTTCACCAAAAAATGTTGTTTCAGTTATTGTTGCTGAAAAACCACTTAATATCCATCATTCACCTAATATTAATATTAAATTTTAATAACACCCAGATAAACTTGTCAACTGCTTGGTTATGTGTGGAAATGGCTAAAGTAAGGGACACAAGGATAATTGTTGTGGACCTTTATAGGTATTGGATATATTTCAACTGCAAAGCCAGGTATGCACATTGCTTATTGTGTCCATTCACATGGTGAGCCTGTCATTTTTGTAATTCAAGTTTACTGTTATTGAAAGGAGTTGACAAAGGGCAGTGTAATGAAACGTGAAACTATGATTTTTGCATAGGCCATTGTATGCCTTCACATAGTTACAGTGGAGGTGTTCACAGAGTTTTCTCTAACATTGCTCAACTCTATCCATTATCATGGCCACTGAGATTTTTGCCTCCTCTCCTAACCCCATTATGCATACATAATATGGTAACTCTGGGTCTCC